ATTGTAATTCGAATATTAAGATTAATAAAAGCATTGGGTATGGTAACCAACTAACCTATAAGGTTTAGTGCAGCCCGAACACCATTTTTATAAGTGAAAATAGTTCATATAATCATTTAAATATAAATAATTACATTACAATTGAACCTGGCCTAGCGGTCCAATTGCTTTAGCTACTATTGTAAGTTTATCTTTCTTCTACCTTAAGGACTACGGTTCTACCTGATTCTTTGACAAAATAATAATAAAAAAAAAATACATTACAATTAGAGGTAAGATGATAAGTATATAAATTTAATATATTATTAAATAAGTAAATACATATAAAATTATATATAAATTTTAATATAAAAAATTAATTAGCTTATAATATCATAAGTTTATAAATTATAACTATTAATGATATTATAATTATGAATGATCCAGACCCAGTGTTATTGGACCTTGTGTTAGGGGTGTTCACTTCTGTGGATTGCACGTTTGAGCTCCACGGAACCTTTTCTCCCATCTCCTAATTAACTTTGTAAATAATTACAAATTGTTCAAAAAAATATATTATAATTATATTATTTTATAATATTATTGTAATTCGAATATTAAGATTAATAAAAGCATTGGGTATGGTAACCAACTAACCTATAAGGTTTAGTGCAGCCCGAACACCATTTTTATAAGTCAAAATAGTTCATATTATCATTTAAATATAAATAATTACATTACAATTAGAGGTAAGATGATAAATATATAATTTTAATATATTATTAAATAAATAAATATAATTAATATCATAAGTACAAATAAATAAAACGAATGAATAAAATACATAATATAAGAAAAAAGAGTAAAACTTCTTCAAAAACTTGCTGTATTTTTTAAGATTCTAACATTTTTTGGACTTTTATTTTTAAATATTACTGCATATATCCATTGTATTCAACATAAAAAATAGTCTAAATACAACATATTCTTAATTTTGAGATTAAGGTATAAACAACAAATTTAAAACAAGCAAATTAAAAATTGTTGTATGCAGGCTATTTTTGTTGTTTAATTTGTTATTTATACCTTAGTCTCAAAATTAAGAATATGTTGTATGCAGATTATTTTTTAAGTTGAATACAATAGATATATACAGTAATATTTAAAAATAAAA